ATCTTGTTAAAAAAATAACATAAAATAATAAGTAAATATTAAATTATGACTTAAAATAAATTCAAAATAAGCATAAATGTAGAAAGTGTAGGAAGTAATGTGTAAATAATTAAAAGCATATTTCTTACAAACCGTTTTATCGATCGGTTCCGTTTAACCGATCATGACCTTCGTGAGAATTTAAACTACGATGATCGTGTACTGCTGTTAAAAACCGTTCGAAACATTGATAAAGTAATATAAATTTTTCAAAGTGACTACTCTGTGTCTGCAAGATGTATCTAAAAGAAAAATTAGATACCAAAAAGCAAGACTTTGGATTTGCGGAGGCAAACAGAAGTTCTGGGTGTCTTTGGCGGCACACACTTTGATGAAATATAGAAAAAACTGAAGAGAGAAGCATTAGGTCTTTATTAGCGATTATCCACCATATTTACTTTATTTGGATATGTTCGATTCCAATATTATCGAAATAAAAATAGGATATGAAACGAAATCTTAAATGTAATAAGAACTAACATATTAAATGTAATTTTGTTGAAGAGTAGGATTAATATTTCTAAAAATTTGATAAACAGTTTTAACGTTATATTGACTTCAAAAGCGATTATTCTCAATACACAAAAACAACAAATCAAAGTAATAAACTCTTTGTAACATATATACTCGTCATATATATGAGTAACATGTAGTAAAGAAATTTTATTATATTACTAAATTTTATAATAACTGCTAATCAGTGAACAAAAATACACAGTACGCTATCGTTGTGCACTGCTAATGCCCGAACACTAACACTAACAATTTTTTCAAGTGTTTCAGGCTTTTTTTTAGTGTACTGCTAGCGTAGTTTTAAAAGAAATACAAAACAGTACACTATATTTGTTTCTGTACACTTTATTTTCGTTCACTGCTACAAAGGTACCTGTTGTTTAATTATGTTACTTTAATCAAGCGAAGTCATAAGTTACATAGAAATATTTCTGTGCTTAGTAATTCCATACGGAATTGAACCATTACATTTTGTAGTAAGCATTTTTTCTCAAAATAAAGAAGTCTTAAATTCTTTGTTCTGAAACAAAATTTCTTCTTTTTTTCAGTTCTTAAAGTGTATTTTAGACTTGAACTTAGTGAGATATGAACCAGACTTTGCTAATATCAGAGTGGTCTACTCTTTTTTATACTGCCGAATACATTTGATTTTATAGATTTCCTAATACGTTATATCAAATCATTATATTTCATTAATAATACAAAACTTATAAGTACAGTGTTTTTTTATTACTCAACTTTACAGATCTAACTATTATTATTAAAAATAATTGATCGGAATTGCTAAATATATTCTGGTAGAAGATTGCAATCAAAATTAAGAAAGTATACATATATATAGCTTCATATTTTATTTATATATTAGAAATTGCTTACATTGGTAGGGTGTTTCATTATTCATCTTCATTTCCTTTTATGTTGTTAAATATTATATAATAGCAATAAATTAAGATATAAAACAAAGATCTTACAAATTGTCACAACTATATATACACAGACAGATGTGTGTATAAACTAACGTATTAAATATATCAATAAACAGCTTTAAAAACAAAATTACCCAGCAGGTTGTGGTAGAAAATCAAGTTTGATTAGTGAACGTCTGCCAGATTTAATGATGAAGCGAACTCATTAAAATCGTAACGATTAACCAAAATTTTGGCACTTTTTATTAATAAAGTTAATTACGTATTTTTATACTTATAAAAAAAAATTTTTAAAACATGTATTAGATTAATTGATCGAGGCCTTGACATGTGCGATCACAATTGATACCGTTGGAAAAATTGAGAAGAGTAAAAACTAGACTAGTTAAGGGTCGAAATTACTTGTTTATATGAACTATTAAATATTTACTATATAAACAAGTTCTTATCGATTAATTAATTAGAACAATAAGAGTAACACAAAAATAGTAACAGTGAGAAATATATTTATTTTTCTTATGATTCATATAATATGCAACATGCTGGTTCTCTCTCACATCCGCATTTCTAATATATGCAAAAATATGATATTTTATTTTGAATACATACCTATATCGTAAATAATTGATTGTCAAATACGCATGTATGGATATAGTATATATTAAGGAACAGCAGTGAACTCTATAGGCAATCATATTATAATGATTCTAGAAATTGTTTTGATAATACTAAGAAATTTTATTAATTACTCTATCCAGTATACTGTTAAAATACTATTATGTTTCTGGCTCTTTAACCCCTTGAGATTAATAAAAAAATTCTTAGAATATAATTGCTTTCAAGAAATTTATTTTTAATAATTAATCAAATTGATACTCAAATCTGTAAATTCTTAAAACAGCACAGAAATATACAAATACTCAAAATAGAAAAAAAATTTTTATTATATTAAATTGATTATATATTTAATCAAAATGTTTGCTATAAAAAAATGAATCTCTTAATTGATAGCAACAGAGACTATGACGTCGATTGTTAATTTAACAAAATTTTACCGTTTTTATGAAAAATTGATTTTTAAGTTAATCACATTTTGGAAGAATTTATAACGTCACTCATGTCTGATTGATGTCGATAAATTTTCTCTCTTCGAAGCTCTTCAATAAGACGACAGCATGCTGTCTACTTGACCAAAATTGGAGACTTATATTAATAGTATATAATATAGCACATATGGATATTATTACTTGTTAATTATTATACTTTGTATCGGAGATGCTAATTCTATTAAGGTACATTTTTATTCTTTTCTTTTTTATTGGATTTCCCCAAGAAATGTTTAAAATTATAAAAATAAACATAATCATAATTTTGCCTTGACAATATGCTAATTTCTTATTTTCAAATTTTAAAACAAACTAAATCCTATTAAAGATTAGAACTAAATTTTAAGAATAGAATTTACACACCATCTTCAGCATTTTATTCAGTCTATAGTTTTACTTGTATGAAATAAAATTTGGATTTTGGAAATTTTTTAGCTGTCTGCGCTTATAAAAAAATAAAAATATAAACGAAAAAAAAAAGTTACTAAATTTAGCAAATCATAAACGAAAAAACTTGCTTAGGTTCGCAACTAATCAAGCATTAGAGTATCTTTCTTATATCAGAACTGTTTAGAATCTTTAATTAATTTCTTTGATTTGATAATAATTTGCTAGTTTTTAATCGTTTCTGAATTCATTGGAAAATAAAAATCAGACACACCCAAAAAAAAAAAACTTAATGCCGTGTAAAATATTTCGCATGAATTCATTAAATTTTATTGACTCTTTACGTCACAGTACAAATTTTATGATAATTTAAGGGTTTATTGAACAACGAAATGACATAACGACTTGTATAAGTTAAATGTATGAATTAGAAAGATGGAGACTTAAAAACCAGGAAAAAGTTAAAGAGAGTTAAAACCCCCAATATAAAGGTTTTGCAAACGTGTATTTTATACTTACCGTATGAACAAATATAGTGGATTTTTAATATCAGTTTAAATTGATTAACAGTCATCTTCAACAGTAACATTGTGTAGTAGTATATGTAGTAGTATATAGTATTTTGAGTAAGTATTTAGTATAAGTGTTTAGTTTATAAGTTTAGTAATTAGTTTATCATTGTAATATTACACATAAGAAAATGTACATGACAACTCTAGTTTATCAAGTTCAACTGATGTGTATCATGAAAATAAAGGAGTCAGTATATTACTGACAACCGAAGAGGTGATGCGTTTTGTATTTAGAGTTGCTTGACTACAATTGCTAGTTATATATCAGTGGCAATTTCATTGGAAACGCTAGAGAAATGATATTGATCTATATTTGAGAATTGATTTATGATCTATAAATAAGAAAATTGAATTCAGATGTACTAGAAACCTACGTCACCCTTAAAAGTAAGAATTGCTACAACAATACTTAAAACACAATAGCTAACATTTCAATACAATATAGTATATAAAACGAAGCCAAAATATAAATAGAAAAATATATGATACTCAGAGATAAAACAGTCTAATATTTCCTTATCATAGTCAATGTACACTGTCTACTGCTGTAAAGTACTAATCCGAGAAATTATCAGAAATTTTGCTCAAACATAGAGCGAATATTATATCTACTATATAATAATTTTTTATAATATTCCTGTTTCATACCTGTTTCATAAAGAATTTCTGTCACCAGAGCAGCTTAAGAACTCTTCTCTAGATTTAATTCTAGACTTTATTCACAAAGCTTTAAGGGGCTTTGTTTAATCAATAGTAAAACTGGTACAATAGGTCTCTTCTGGCCGCAGTACCGGCTGTTGGGCAATTTTCACGTCTACTCTTTTAATAATTTAATATACAATATTCTTATATCTAATGTTATAACTAATTAATCGAAATAAAAGTACACTCAAGGACTTACTTCATATAATAGAAAAATTACTTAAAAAAACATAATAAAACCTGTAATTAAAAAACTACAATTTTCAATTTTTATAATATATATTTATTGAGCTCAAAATATATTATATATTTTTTCACATTAATCTCTATTAGAGATATATATTTACACTTCCTTAGGTTACAGTTTAAAAACCACTCTTGGAAAGCCTTTTGAGGTATGGGTTTGGAGCTGAATTTCAAGACGTGACTAACTTCACACACTTGAATGCAGTATTTCCTTTTACTGTCAAAAATATTCTCTCTAAAATAGGATCGTGCCATTAAAGTCTACTATTGTCAAAAAGTATACAGGTTGGCAGAAGCTTAACAGAATAGATGGTTAAAAGAATGACACCTCTTATAAACAATTTTAGCTTCAAATAAAAGTGCAATAAATTTTCCTTCAAGATTTAGCCTATATATATTTTGAAATTCAGTTCACTTGATATTCTCATTCTCAATTTTTTAATTATAAGTCTTCTTCTACCTATATTATTTCATCCACTCAAAAAAAATAAAATAAAATAACTATTGAATTCATGCAATCAACCAACTATAATTTAATACTGATATGAAATACAGAAGTTCATCAAATTGTATCACTTAAAATTTTTTGTGAGAATCACACACCTACAATTTTATGATCAAGAGGTCATTGAGATACACATCATTGACTCCTTTATCCGAACCATTGTTTCCAATATTTGCTTCACCTGAAAACATTTTAATATGTAGCAAAAAAAAAAAATAACTAATTTACCAAACTATTTCTCACTTGATTCACATACACATCCATTAGTTTTTGGAGATATAATGTGACTACAAATATTTCAATACTTATCCACGAAACAGGATAAGATGTTTACTGACTTATTTCTGTTCCGAGCTTTGATTCACAGTCAATTTCATCAATTTGCGTGACATCTCTTATAAATGAAAACATTTTAGCATATAGCGAGGTACTCAGAAGTATTTTATCGATTTATGTTTGGTTCTCGGATTCATACCTAATGCTATTTCTGAAAGATGTGATATGATTAAAATATTTTATATATGGCAAGAAAATCAGAATATACACTTTACCGATCAATATTTGCTTCGGGTTTTCATTCACAATCATTCTCATCAATTTTCGTGATATTTCTGACTACTGAAAGCATTTAATCATGCTAAAATATGTATTCAGAATAAATCATTTACTAACCTATTTTTGTTTCGGGCTTTGATTTATAACCATTTCTAACATTCGTGAGATCTGATATAAGTAATTGAGCATCATTCCTTTTCACCGTTTCATGAACCAAAAATCTTTCAAATTCCCGTATAACTGGAAATTCGCTTTCTAGAAACCCCTCGAAACTCTGCTCAACACTGTTCACACTTATTTCACTCTTGACAAGTGAGCAAGGATATTTATCGAGTTGTTTTTTACAAGTATTATAAATTTCCAGGTTTTTATCCTGATAAACTTCAAATTTAATAGAAAGAAAAAGTTTTCGTTGAGCCGGCATAATCTTAATTTTTAAATTTTGGGTATTTCCAAATGGTAAACTAAAACATATAATTTTTTCTCTAATATATTT